TTAAATATACTGGTTAGTGGAAAATAAAGAAAATTACCGCAAGCACGAACGATGCAAGTGGGAATCAAATGTGGGCCGGCTAAATAGGAAAGTTTTACATTTCGCAGAGCATCGAAAACTTCAGTTTCTGTAAAAGTAATAGATGTGAAATGATCGAAAGAATTGATAATATAAGGATATTCTCATACGTCAAACTATTAGCTGAATACGTTTTTTCGAAAAAGTTTGCAAAGAAATTATTAATAACAGACAGATCCGTCGATTCAACGTTTTCATAGCTCATTACAGATGGAAAACCATTAATCTTACGTTTTGAGTTTGCAAATTTATAAAGACATTTAAGATTGGAAAATAATTGACTTTTCATCCTTTGCAAATACACCGCATAAGACTTATTTTTTTCAAAGTTGTATTCACGTTTGAACGTTTGAATTTTTTAAGCAATCTACTCTTGTTATTTCTGATCAGCTTAAGATGTTTATTAAACCAAATAGGATAAATTGATGAATAACTGTCTGATTGTATAGGCACCGACTAAGTTATAGCATGTAAGAGAATATTTTAAATAGAATCAAGGGAACCATCAATATCAGAATATTCTAAGTTCCAGTGGAAGCTACTCAGAATATTATAAAGTTTATTATAATTGGTTTTCCTAAATATATATCTTTTATTACAAGTCTTATTAAGGACTTGCATAGTTTGCAGATTGCCTAAATTTATCCCCAATGTAGGATGATGTATGTCTTCAAGCAAAATATACGGATCCCCACGAGTTACACTTACGTTTGAGTAGTTAAAAAAAATTAAATGCTAAAGTCTACCCTTATTATTAACAATTGAATTATATTGGAATAGACATAACTCGTAAAGTTCTTCAAAAAAGTCAGTGTATAACAAGGGGTAAGATACAGGAGTGTAATAACCAAGATCTTCGTCGCAGCACCACGATACAAACGGTAAATTAAAATCTCCTAAGACCAAAATTTTGCCTGAAGGTTTTAGATCAGTCACCACGAATTTTATTAGTTGTAAATGTTGCAAGTAAATAGAAATATCAGAGATTAGGGGGATAAAAGAGCAGGCTATGTACAACATACAATTGTCAAGAACAATTTTTACGCAAATAAATTCTACATCAACAGTCGCAGGAAAACTGACTATTGACGATGCGCAACAACTATCGACAGAAATTAATACACCACCACCTAATCTTTCGATTCTATCATGTCTATACACTTGAAATCTAGAGCAAAATATTTCAGAGTCGTTGATCTCAGGTTTAAGCCACGTTTCCGTAAACACCACTACGTGATTGTCAGTACCAACTGAACTCAGAAAAGCCGACTGTAATTTTGTGTTTAAACCATGAACATTTTGATATAATATTAGCAAATCTAGTTTTTCGAAGACACAGAAGGTTCATCAAGGTTAGCAGGAGATCTGGTCTTTTTACGAACCACGAACTCTTTAACAAAAGTATTTTCCGGCCAGAAACTTTTTTTAATAAGGTTATCAAACATCGCAGCAGGTGCAAATATTTTAAAAGATTAAATGGCACGCTTATGTGCAACATTAAACTTGAAAACACTAACCATTGATGGATCCGAAATAGTAAGCTCACATTGAATGTATTTCAAAACTTTCTCAGTCGTAGTATCCGAAGATAATCTAGACACAAAAATAGATTTACGTGCAGGTATTGCAACCAACTCAACCGAATCATGGTTGCATAGCCCATCCATTTCCTTGGTTACTGACGAATCAACTATTCTAACATTAGATTGAGCCATCGGGATTCGAGGCAACGGGGAAATGGAAATTGGAACGTCCTGAGGCGTCCTATGCCCATACGAACTAGGACTATTTACAACCTCTTCCGGTATATTATTCAAAAATTTCTATGCACCACATACGCGCGCAAAGAAAAGAAGAATAAGAAAATAGCAAAAGAAAAATAGCCAAAAACCTCAATCTATATGTCATTCAATGTATAATTCTGCACTTTGTAAACAAAATATATTTGAAAATATTAGATTATTTATGCAAATAATTTATAAAATAGAAATTTTGCACAACGATTAGTAATACTTCGACTTAATACACGCGAGGTTGCCAGATGATAATGAATAATAATAAGAGAAACCGCCTATTAGTTATGTGTTTCTGCAAAAGTAATAGGAAAATTCCTTTTCAATTACCAACGTTTGTTACTTTTTCGATTTTTCCCTTACCATTTTCTTCTTTGATCTTCTTTTTTCCGCACAATACGTTCTTTAGCGACATTCAAAAATAAAATTCGCAATTTTGACCAAATATTTTACAGGCGGAAAAATCATTAAAGATATTTGTAAACCTCAAAGGACGATTACAGATTAAAGACTTATTGGAGGATCATGTACATTAATAAACAGTTATTAAATCTGATGTCTATCCACGGTAACATATTCCGTATATGGAAATCCGATAAATTTATTGCAAAAAATTATACGCAAAGTTCGTAGATTTCAAAAAACTTTTATTGCCGCTTTCTTCCAAACTACAACCTGTTGAGTCTGAGTTTGGTCACATCTTAGAGTAAGCGTCTATATTTGGTCACATCTAAGCGTCTGTATTTGTTTAAAATTGAGAACAATTTAAAGAGTTAGTCCGTATTTGTTAGCAGTTGTTGCATTGGAAAAACGACTATGAATTTGGTCACATCTGCCTCAACGTTTTTTACTATACTGTCAAAGTTACCGTATTTAATTAAATTTTCGCTTGAATATTGTATTTGAACTACTTCTGCTCTTCGGCTTATTGCATATACTTGTTCTCTACGCGCCTATGAAGAAATAAAACGCTTGCGTCGTAAAATGCGCGAGTCGCCTTGACCACACGATATCTGCATTTCCGTAAATGGTACACAGAAATTCGCTTATCTTCTTAGCCTTGTACGGTGTGACTTCATCTCGCTAAAACTAAACGATTGTTACAGTATGCAAGATGTAGAAATCGTCGCATAATATTACGAATCGGTGACGTTGCAAAGCGAGAATAATGGTCGAAAAATCATTTTTTCTATACCACGTTTACACAAGCATCCGAAACGTTCGTAACAATCTCACATATTATAAATTTGCACAAGTTCGTTACTATACGCTATATATAGACTTATTTATGTATATATAGAAAAGACCAAGATGTATTGCCAGCTCTCTGAAAGCTAAAGCAAACAGGTCCAATTGGTGATAAAATTTTGATGTCCTATAAAAATGATTACACATCTTCAAATTACTTTAAGAAGTCAATATAAATAAAATATTTAACTTGATCAAAGCGATTAAACTAACTATCTAGTCTATTTTTTAAAAAACGAAGAGCCAATAATATTGGTCGCTTGTGTACGTCCTACTTCGTTAGTCCTAGAATTTTGCTATTGTTTGTATACCGCGATAAAAGAAATCAAATCAAAAATAAAAACATTACTACGGAATGAGATTGCTCCATATAGTGCAGGAACACGTCTCAGTTTTTTAAAAAGATTAAACAAAATATTGAATTTGCTATAGAACTCAATACTTCAATTTTGTGTTATCTCCCAGAGCAAATGTTTGCAAAGTTTTCGAAAAAATTCTAAAATTTATGATTTATGATTTGTTCTTCCGGGCCGTCATCGCACAGCACAACGGATGAAGCGATTGCTTCCTTACTTAATAATATATAAATAACAACAAAAAGACATCAATTTTAAATCTCAACGTTTGCCAACAATCTCGCACAGATCCCTCATGTACAGCATTGCAAATCGTAGTACTCGTGCAATCTCGTGTAAGCCATATTTTTCTAGTTTTTAAGGTCATCAAAAAAAAATATTCTTGTCGCTACAAATGTATTACTGCATTGCCATATTACCTTGTTTTTGCCCATTAGATTAATCTTTGTTTTCATCGTAATCCTTATTACATTGAACATTTTTAACACGCAAATGTTTAAATGTGCAACATAAATGATCAATGTGTGTAAACTGCTAGGACAACTCTTTTCGTCCATATCACCATTGTTTTAAGAAAAAATACAATTTTTTGCTTTGTCGGTGTAGAAAATATACTAAAAACTCCTTTAAGTAGTTGAATTGTTGTCGATTCTTACATCACAATTGCCCGTTTCCTTCTCGCCGAATTTACGAGTCTTCTTGATTGTACGCGGTTCAGGCGTCTATTTAGCTAAATGTACGATAGCAACGAAAATAATACGTAAGTGACGAAGCTCAAAAAAACTTTTATCAATTGTCGGTTTCGTAACAAACGAAGCCAAGTTTTAGATACATTACTACTTGTTTCTTTACAATTTCGAAAACTAGTACTAACATAAAACGTATGCTATTTAGCTTCCGTATAATTTGATAGGTGTGAGAGAATTTGTTCAACAGTCGTCGCGCATATGTGAAGCAATAGAATAACGAAATTATTCAAACAACGTGCAAATAATGAGAGCAAAAGAGAAAGCAGCCAAACGGCAATTAACAGCGTTATTAGTTTTATTGATAACAGATACACAAATAGTCCCTGTTTGAATTTTGAGCTAAATGTTGGAACATCCTGTCATTTAGCGGTCTTTGTTCATATATAATGCTAGAGTTATATTTTCCATACATAATTACACTCCAGATCCTAGTTGCTAAATTTGAGAAGCATGAGATTTACCCAAAATAAGCAAAAAACCATAAATTACAATTTGTGAAGCTCGTAGTACGCGTAGGAGGACCACCTAAAGTTTCAGTGAAAAGGTGGGCGTAATTATTACCACAGCACTTTTGTAATTGTGAATCCACTTCACGAAAAATATTTACGTAGATTATGAGTCATCATATACGATATGATAAATATTTGCAGAAAAATGTTTATTTCATAGATGAAGAAAATATTACGTGAAGGTTTATAAGGTAATAATTAATATTATTTTGTAGACTTGTCTTAAAAGAAGCAACTGAAAATGGAAAGAGAAGGGGCGTTGGAATATCGATTATTTGCATCTTCTGATGTAACAATTGCGAATAAAAGTAAAGCACATTTCCTTGAAAGTAAATGGCTCGATTTATGTATGTATGCGAGTTTACCTTGTACTTAAATCTTTCACTATGCTCTTAGGATGCCGCTTCTTACGAAATATTTATTTTATTTTGCTGATTTTAATTATTCAGTACTATTTTTGGTTAATGGACACAACTTTAAATATTTAAATAGGTTGTGGTATTCTTGCTTAGACCTTGAGGTTATTCCATCATTTACCATCCGATTAAATGCAGCTTTTTTTTAATCTGATATTATATATAAAAAGTTATAAATATAATTTAAATTGCTGGTATAAAGTATATTACCGAATGCAAGATATTTTTTGTGCATCTGTGTTCTACAAACATTTCTAATGTTCCTGAATCCAATTATAACTACTCCACTATCATTAATACTAAAGAAATGCGATTTGAATTTAGATAGAAAAAGGTCGTTAAAAGCAAATTCTTATTTTGTAAGTTTACTGATGGTAGACGACATAAAATATAGAACTTCTAAGAATTGCATACTTATATATATTGTAAAAACATGGAACGCTCACAGGCTTCTTCTAACAATTCTTGGTGTCGTTTCTTTTCTTCGGTTGTTAGCTCATGTACTAGTTCATCAAAACCGTCGTCAAATTCCGTGTGCTCAGTTTCTGTCGAAGTCTGCGAGGCTCCGTCTTCTAAATCTAACAAGGGTTCACCGATTATCTGCCGAATATCATTGGACAAATGACTTGCTTCTTTTATTTGGTAATAAATGGCTTCAGCTGTCTTGAGCGTTATGCTAAGATCGATGTTACCCGATAGTTCATTAACGTGCTTTAAGATTTCTGTGAATTCATATCTGCTTTCGATTATCTTTTCAGCCTCTTGATCCAGTATTGCTACAGATATTAATACATGAAAATTTGGACATGGCAGACGCGTCCAGAGACATTCCCAGAGCTTAATTATATCATCGTTGTTGAATTCTCTTTTATACCAAACAAGAAGCCAGCGAAAACAAAAGTACATATTATCAGAATCGTGAGACTTCAAATAGTCAGTAAGGCGTGGGTTAGCGAGTTCTAATAGACGTCTTAACTGGCTGAATTGTACTTTCATGCCCGCTTGATCAACATCAAAATTGGCGAAGACCATGTTCATAAATCCAACGAAACACCAAAAAGCATCAACTTCATTTTCCTAAGGTAATCAAACAACGAACCAATTATTTTTCTCTTATTATGAGAAACTACTCACCATTACAGCTAGGATAGGGGCAAGTAGATCTGACATGCCCTGTACATAACCTAAATCAAAGTTGTACATAACATAGGTCATTAATATTCCTTGTAAGATTAACAGATTAGGATTATCTTCTCCGGCGAAATACGTAAGCGAGCGGTCGGTGCGCTTTACATCCTTTTCGATTTGGCACTTACGATCCCGATAGCCTGAAAAATTAATTTCCTGTACAGTAGTCATAGACAGCCATTGTGCTTTCATGTTATAATATTCCATAGACTTCTGCTTGCGCCGTACTATGCGCTCCACCTCAGAATCATTCCACTGATAGTAGTTCAGCAGATATTTCCATACTTCACAACGCAAATTACTTTCGATACCGCCCCTGAAAATGATATCCAGAATACGGGCACAGTCCGACATACGTCCATCTGCGGTTTGAAATTCGAGCCACTGATTTTCGGACAAAGGTTGCTCACGTTGTATCGTTTTTCGTTCGGGCAATAAGCTCACGATTTTCTGATCTTGTTCTTTAACGTTTTGTATTTCGTCACTGTCTACATCAGGCGATTTATCTAAGCTGCTGATGCGACTATGCGATCCCGAAGTGTTGACGCTATTCGAACCCCCGCTGGATAAGCCCACCATATGATAATTCTCTGAATGTGATGCAAAGTTATTCAAATTTTGCCTACATTCCAATGATCCGGGTCGTATCTTAGGTGGAGCCTTTGCAGATACATAATCCGGTATGTTTACTAGAAACCCGACAACTTTATGGGATAGCCAACTTTCATGACCAATAGAGGAAGCTTTAATTTCACCAATATCTAATTCGGCAAAGGTCTTTTTAAGTTTCTGCGTATCGGTGGGCAAAATTACATATTCCTCCGAACCCCGAACGCCGCCACTTCTAACATCAATAATATGCAGTTGACGCATGCTACGAACAAACTGATCGGCATTACCGTGCTGGAAAAAAAATTCCGAGTGCAATGATTTATCCGCCTTGCGTACGAAGCGCACAGTTTGCCCGCGATGTTTTACTTCAATAAGTGATAATTCGTCGAGTAAAGTATGTATAACACGGGGGTTACGAAAAGAACCAGAAGACATGTCCATGCGTGGAGTATTGAACAGTTTGCATTCTGATATGGAACGTGATCTACGCGATATTGTATCCACTAACGCCCAGTCACCTTGATCTTGGCTATCATCAGCTATCAAAATATTTTCATTTGGACGCCACTCTAAATACAAATGACGTGGCGGCCCGTACTCAACTAAAGATAAAGAGCCACTAGTATTCAAGTCGGCTATATGTTCAGCGTTAGCTTTCTTTAACAATACCCCATCATGAGTGCAAAGCACCTGTTGGGAAAGTTAAGGACTTAATATTTATTTTTATTTACCAATGTTTATTATTAGAGTCGCAGCAAAACTTACATTTCCAATGGTTAAATTCTCGTCAAACTCAATTAAGCTTGTATTCGTGTCATCAGAAGAGCCAGCATTGACATTCTGCGGTGATTGGTCGCATCCTCCGCCTCCTCCAGAATCAGATGATGAATATAGGTACGCCTTTTGCTCACTGCTGTCATTTTCATAATGTGCTGAATTTATCATGGTGTATGGTTGGCAAATAAAACTGTCTTTCCTTAACTCTCTTCTTAGTATAATCTTAAATTTCGCACTAGAACAATTTTAAGAAACTTAATTTCCTCCAGGCTTTTCTCGATATTTTTAATTTCTAAAAGAAAGAAAAATTGATATCACAGATGATTCGGATAATATGTACATAAAGAGAGAATTTTTTGTTAACGTATGGTACTTCTCTCCGATTTCGCAATTATGTGCATTCGATTACATTAGTTAATAAGTATTGTTTCGTGTTGTATTAAATACCAACTGCACACTATATAAGCGCATGTTGACTTCTTTCTATATTTCTCGTGTAATTTGAAACTTAATTCCTTTGTAACAACAAACCTAAAAATTGGCAGCCTTTAAAGAATGTCAAGTATTGTTCGTTAAACTCTCATTAATATTCGATAATCTTTATCACATAAAAAAAGAAACAAAGTTATTAAATATGATGAGCTGAGTTCCGAACTTATATATAGTAAAACCCTACGTCAGCTAAGGTTTTTCATATGATGGCTAATGCAAATGCACAAGAAATTCAATGTTCATATTTGCTGCATTGCAAACGCAAAATAATAATAATAATAACATCTATTGGCTTAGTCCATCTCTGTTCAACATACCAAAAAAAAAAAAAATAATAACAAAAAAAATTCAGTTAGTTGATACATTTCGAATTATAAGTTAAAGGGCTTAACTATTGCCACTTTCATTGTACGATACTGTAATTGTTGACTAAATGGGACATAATGACATAGTGATCACTTTGGCAATACTGTAGCATTGTGAGTGTGTCATATTTATAAGCATTGCTTATTATTTCAGTCAGCTTTTTTTTCTCAACGAATTTTGGATTTTCATTTGCTGAATAGAAGAAGAAGATGAAGACTACTTCAATCAGGCAACTTCACTTCTCAGCCATAAAAATTGACTTTAGATAGAAGAATATCGTAAACATGGCTGACGAAAAGCAACAGAACTTTGTTGAAGATCTTGTGGATAATGCATGGTCTATAAGAATACCTGCTTTTAAACCTGAAGACAATATCCAGGGTTTGATTGAAGAGAGCTGTTTCGCGACCGTATTCCCCAAATATCGTGAAAAATATTTAAAAGAAGTTTGGCCTTTGGTTCGGCAATGCTTGGCGGAATATTGTCTCAAAGCCGAGCTGAATCTAATAGAGGGCAGTATGACTGTAAAAACTACACGCAAGACTTGGGATCCTTATATCATTATTAAAGCTCGTGATATGATTAAGTTGATGGCTCGCAGTGTGCCGTTTGAACAGTCAAAGAGAGTGTTACAAGACGAAATTGGTTGCGATATTATCAAAATTGGCAGTTTGGTACGAAAGAAAGAGAAATTCATTAAAAGGCGACAGCGTCTAATAGGACCTAATGGAGCAACATTGAAATCCGTTGAACTACTGACTGATTGCTACGTTTTGGTACAAGGTAACACCGTGGCAGCTTTAGGCCCTTATAAGGGGCTACAACACGTGCGTGATATTGTATTAGATACTATGAACAATGTGCATCCAATTTATAACGTGAAAGCATTGATGATTAAACGTGAGCTTATGAAGGACACCCAACTGGCTCATGAAGACTGGTCCCGGTTTTTGCCGAAATTCAAAAACAAAAACGTCAGCAAACGCCAGCAGCCGAAGTTAAAGAAATGCAAAAATGATTACTCACCTTTCCCACCACAGCAACTTGAAAGTAAAATCGATAAGAAATTAGCTTCTGGCGAATATTTTCTTAATAAGGAACAAGAATATCAGCGTAAGCAGCATGAACGCATGGCCAAACAAGCAGAAACAGTTCAGAAGCAGAAGGAAAAAAGACAGGCAGGTTTCATACCGCCTGCAGAGGAAAACTTTAGTTTAGTCAGAACTTATGCAGATACCGATGAGAGGAAACTGAATATAAAGGCTTTCAAGAGCAAGGTGGCCAAATCTATTCTAAATCTAAACACTTAACTGTTACAATTATAATAAAAAAAACTGTTAAACATTATTCGCCTTTGAAGCTGATCTTTAATGCCTGCGAGCAAATATTTAGAAAAGGTAACATTTTTTAATCATTTCCTAATGAATGCCAATGTCGAAAGTAGTGACGTTTAAGGTATATGCTATAGCGAATCGGCAGCAATATTTTCAAGCCATCAGTGGATTTTTTAACCCGTTGGGTAATGTGGGTTTACGGCCAGACGTTGTTGATGTACTAAACGAGGGAATATGCGTGAAATTTCAACGTTCTCTATTAATTTCCATTTTAATTCAATTAACAACTAGCAAAAAAAAAGCAAGTATATCAAGTATAGCGTATTGGACGGACAGAATCATTCCGAATCAATAAATAAACCTTATACATACTTCTTATGGATATTCTAATGAAAAAGTAAACGGCAATGCTATTACGTCACCTTTCTTCAATTTTAAATCAAAAAATAGCTTTGCTCCATATTTTCAGCTCGGAAGAATCGACTTTTGATCATCAGAGCTCTAGTGTAATCAAGCTGAACAACAATACTATTTTGCGTTTGCGAGAAGTGAACAAATTTTTGGCTTTGGTGTGTATTTTACGTGAGAATTTTAATCGCCAAGGTGTTATTGACTAATTTTCTATGCTTTCGTGACGCCATCAGTGAAGTTTTTGAATTGCTTTCTTGAAAAAATAAGAGAAAGTAATACAAGACAATCATATTAAAACTGTAAACGTTAGTCCGATGGACACATCTTTTGTGCTTTCTGATAATCCTAAAGGGATTTTTTGTTTGAGCTTAAAAAGTAAAGAGCGAAGAAGAATGCTGTGCGGATGATACCGAACTTTAGCTTGAACAGAGCTCCATCGATGAACTACTACCAGCTTAAATTAAACTGTTGTTTACAGTAACAGAGAAGGAAGTCGTGCGTTGGTCGTTTCAACTTCCTTTTTCTTCCTCTTCCTTCTTTGGCACATAAGGCTAGCGGTATTTATATTTGCTTATCCATATATGCGAACAGACAAGAAAATAATAGGCACCTAAAAGCTACATAAACATCAATGTATAAGAAAATCTAATACAAACCCAAACGCCACGTTGGCTAGTGTATAACCAGATACCTATTTTTTAGTGGTTTTACCGAAAATGTGTTGAGACGTTTAACGAACGTAGCTGCGACATCGGCACTTTTACATTCTTCCTTTTGTCCATGTCCAGCAAGCGAAGGATTCACTTCAAAACAAACGGGATTGATTTTTAAATGAACTTGGAAAACGACATGAACATGTGTACGAATGATATTTCGAACATGTGTTTCGATGGTTTTTCGGTTGTAAAGTTATCTGTTTATTGGAAATAAAATGAAATCACATCCACCAAAGACAGTGAACAAGCTTTCAGTCATGCCGAGAAAGAATATTCACAAGATGTATCGCAGATCAAGCCATGGGAAAACGTATCCGAACCATCAATATTACCACCACATCTATTGCAAGTTATACTTAAGAAGGATACGCCATTATCGTTGAGTAATGAGGCAGGATATACAGGACATATAATATAAGAATAAATAAAATAAAAAACAAGATTTTGCAAGAAAAAAAAATGTACAGCGAGCCTCATTAATGTTGCGGTTTTTCGCTTGTTGAGTCCAAAGAATCTTCCAAAATTTTTTTTTGATAAATACACATGCAAATACATATTAAAATATAAAAAAACAAAACATTCCAGTAGACAAGACAATTCCGTTGCAGCTGCAATTTGTGGCATAAAATAAAAAGAATTGACGGCGCTAACAAAAGTTCCTTACAAGCGAATAAAATGTAATATTTCAATAGCAAAATGTGATTTGTAAAACGATTGCCGTCAAAGGAAAAAGTCATTGGCGAGTTTAAAAGTGCGGCCACTGCTGAAGGAATGTAACTTTTTTTTACTTGTTCGACGCGTTACGAATGGCTGGACAATATGAACCATCTTAAGCACATATTGCTTATTTGCATAAATTCTTTTAAGTGATCAAAAATCGTAAATTCAGCAAAGTTTGGGAGGAACCTCAGTCTGGCAACCTTGTCGCGCGGTATAGTCGTGTATTTTTTGTGTCGGCAAATAAAATTTTAATTTTTTTCTTGAATTTCGTGGCTTTTCTGCCTTAGTGTGTGATTTTATTATATTATTTGAGAAGAAAGTGAGTGAATTCAAAGTAAAAGAAATATTTTTCTTTTACGCTTTCATTTGATTCATTTGAGTTTTGCAAACAAAATTTTGAGCTCTGATAAAAATCTCTTTTCTTTTTTTTTGTTTTCTCTCTTTTTCTCTGTTATTTTTTTTACTGTTTGGAGTTTGTGTTGCTAGTGATCTCTCGTTACAGTGTCAACCTAACAGAGAAGTTTTGCACAAATTGGTTGATAAATTTTTATGTTCAGGATTTTTTTTTTTTAGTGATTTGCGTGTCTGTTCTTCATAATCAACAACTGTCTTTTTGACAGGACATGGAGTGTTTATATACACCTTGTCGGGCGAAATCAGGCCCGGATTCTGACAGATTCGTTTCTTGTTGGCTCTGCGAGCGCTTTGGTCATGCAAAGTGTGCCGGTATTCTTGGCCGTGCTGCTGACGCAGTCGCTGATCCGTCTAAAGGCTTAAGATGGTCATGTCCTGACTGTAGGCAGCGGGACATTGACTTTTATAAACTTTTCACGGAGACCCGTTATGGTTTCTCGGAATTGAGTAGAAATCTCGGCTCCTTGTGGGAAAAGTTTGAGCTCATTAAGTCTAGGTTTGATGAGTGTCGCTTTATTGGACACTCATCTTCTACTCGTAGCGTAGCGTGTGGGACTTCACCTCTGGCTTTCTCCAAATCTAATTCGTTGGTACAAGTTACCGCTCCTTCTAACTCTAAAATGAATAGTAATGTTTCCGATATTGCTGAGTCGGTTGGTAGCAAAACAGTTACAAACAAACCGGCAAGTCCATCGGTTTTAAGCTACGCTGAAGTGGCAAGGGTATCTCCGCCCAGAGCCGCCACTCACTCTAATCAAGTGCCATCGCCTAAAAGTAATAAAGAGAAAAATAAGTCATCCTCTTCTCCTGCCTGTTCGCGTGTCAATGCTGGTCACCAGACTCACAAGCTGCCGGTATAGGGGCGATAACCCCATCTATATTTTCCCCAACTCGACACTCTCCTACCCTGAACCCCCCTCCTGTTCCAAATAATGACATTTGCTTGACGGCAGTTCCTCCCAGAAGAGCAATATTTGTGTCAAGACTGGCGCCTGAAACATCGGTGGATAACATAAAAGGTTATCTGGCGACGAAAGTCCCATCAGTCAACTTAAAGCGTGTTAGCATCTTCAAAATGGCTCCTTCTCAAGCTAGGGCAATCTCCTCTTTTAAAATATTAGTTCCGACTGAAAACAGTGACATGTTGTTAAAGAAATCACTGTGGCTAGTAGGATCCTTAATTAAGGAATTTATCCCTCGAGATCGTCCCCGTAATACCAAGACAATAGTCTTGTCGCCTTCAAAAAACTAATTGTTTCTTCAGGCCCACTATCTCTCATTTATCAAAATGTTAGGGGCCTAAATTCGAAAATTCGTTCCAGTTTTCTAAATTCAGTGAACACGGAATTTGTCTGTTTGGCCTTTACTGAAACTTGGCTAAAACCCGATCTTCATTCGTCGGAACTTTTTCATAATTCTTTCCAAGTGTTTAGAAATGATCGAGTGAATCGCATTGGTGGTGGTGTATTAATTGCCATATCTGCGTCAGTCCCGTCCAATTTAATTGAATTTCCCACTTCTCCTGACCTTGAATTTATCGCTATTCATGCGAATATGCCTGATAAACATCTATTTATAATCTGCTCCTATATTCCCCCCCGATATCTCCATATACAGGAAACACGCTTCCCTCATTTGTGGAGTGGCCAAGCGGTCTAGACCCACTGATTTGGTCGTTGCATTGGGTGACTTCAATTTGCCTCAAGTCACTTGGTGTAGCACTGATAATTCTGGCTGTTTGGTTCCTACTTCAACGTCTGATAGGGCTGTGTTCTTTAGTGAATTGTTTGATCAATATTTGGGTCAATATAATCGTACCCCTAATTGTAATGGTAGACTGCTTGATCTCTGCTTTGCCAATTTTCCCGAGATTTACGTAAATCGTTGTCCACCTTTTAGTTTATCTGAGGATCCTTATCATCCATCAATATGCATTTCCTTTCATCATATTAATGATGGTTTGTTGAAATGCCTTAATGTGCCAAATCAAACTTTTTTAAATAATTATTATGATTTTCATAAAATCTATATTGTATTACTAAAACATCGTCTTTCACATCTGACGCTTGATTTCTCAACCGGGAGTATTGAAAGCTTATTGCCATCGTTCTACAATACATTAAATCTAGCTATTGCTGCATCTGTTCCGATCAAGCATTGTCGACCTCGAAGCAGGTGTCCCCCGTGGTTTAATAAGACAATTAAATATCACAGGAATAGAAAAAACTCGCTATTGAGAAAATATTCGAAAAGTGGCTCTGCGCTCGACTATGTCGCTTACTCGGTGGCTAGGCATAGATTTAACTCCCTCAACCATCATTATTACTGCAGATACCTTCAGTTCATTAAATCCTCTCTGTTTGTTAATCCTAAATTCTTCTTTAAATTTGTTAACTCTAAAAGAAAAATTTCCACATATCCCTCTCATGTTTCTTTTAATGGCTCTGATTCCTCGGATGATTTTGAAATCTCAAATCTATTTGCTGAGTATTTCCGACGAAACTTTTCGATTGCTAATTTCGATTTATCAGCAAACTACCCATATCCTATAACTAACTCGGTTTCAATACCTAACTTGGTTATTTCGGAAGATGATGTTTTTAAAGGGTTGAGTTCTCTAAAATACAGTTGTTCGCCTGGACCTGATGGAATTCCATCATGTGTACTTAAATCTTGCGCTGTCGAGTTATGTGGTGTGATCTCAAAGATTTTTAACATGTCCTTGTGTTTAGGTGTTTTCCCTTCATGTTGGAAGAGTAGTTTCCTTATTCCTATCCACAAGAGTGGAAGTAGACAATTTGTTGAGAACTACAGAGGCATAGCCAAGTTGAGTGTCTTGCCCAAGTTGTTCGAGCGTATTGTGACTCAGCATTTGGCCTTTGCCATTAATTCGTATATTTCTCCGCACCAACACGGCTTTCGTAAATGCTGGTGAAATAAGCTTTAATGTCCCTAACCGCTTCTCTAGGTACTTTATCTTGGTTAAGCTTAATCAGTGTAAATTTAATTATGAGCAGAGTCGTTTGCAAGAACCTAAATGACGTCTACCACTTATTCTCGTTATCGGACTCTTTAAAGTCCATTAAAGCAACATTGCTTAATACGCGCAA